TTAAGTATTTTGTTAGAACTCAATAATTATCTTAATTATGTTTTGGATTTTTTATATTTAAAATGAGATATTTATCTTCTATTTGATTATATTTATCCGTACTTTATTACACGAATTCAAACATGAAGTTTTAATAAGTTGCATTTATGCATAATTTACTTGTAATCGTGAATTTTAAGTAATATGCATCAATATACAGTATTTTATGCATAAAAAATGATTTTTAAGAATTATTGTCAAATGTTTTATAATATAGTATAAATAAGAGTAAACTACAAATTTGGTCTTATGATTTGTCAAAATTAACATTTTTAGTCCTTAAAGTTTTGAAATTAAAAAATCGGACCATCATGCTTTGCAAAAACGTTCGGACATGGTTCATCCCTCTAACGATCGTTAAAAAATTCCGTTAGTTGAGATACATTTTTGTTAGTTTATCGATTTTTCGTCTATTTATCCAATCAAAAACTGCAGGGAGCAAAATCATGAAATCAATTTTAATTGAGTAAAAGACAAAAAGAAAGATAAAAGAACAAAAATGCATCTCATTTAACGGAATTCTTTAGTGGCCATTGAAGAAAGAAATGAAATCCGGACGTTTTTTTAAATCATGATGACTATCTTGTAATTTTGAAACTGAATGGATGGAAAGTATTATTTTTGACAAACCACAGGGACCAAATGTGTAGTTTACTCTCATTTAAATAAAGATTTTTGTTTGGGAAATGTTAATGTATTTCTTGATTATACATAAAAGATTAGTAAATTGGCAAATTGTATGAAAATATAAAATATTTTGTATAACATTTTTTAAAAACTCTAGTTTAGCATATAATATATGACATTTCAAATATTTAAAGCAAAGTATATTACACAAAATATATAAGGATCGGACCAAAGTGTTAGAAATCCTGGTTTTCGATTGCTTGGATTCCACTGAAAGTCGTGTAACACTTTCAGATTAAAGTATTTCGATGGTACAATCGAAATTTCAATCGGATAAAATTCAATGGTTTTCGAACAGAGAATCAATTGTTATGAATCTGTGTACCCTCAAAATCAAATGACCAATACAAAAATTGAATTCGAAAACTATCAAAACGGCAGTTTCAGAACCCTAAACCGGGTTTAAAATTTCAAATTTGGATTTTTAAAGCTTTTTTCGACCCCAGCCAGGGGCTCTGCCCCTTAGACTCCTCCACCGAGGTCCTAAATCAAAATAAACTCAAATAAGTGTGCACTCCGCACCTTCCTTACTTGTTCGATATTTATCATAATTACATTGGTCAACAAATCAATCCCATTACACTTAAATGATATTATGATACAAATCACCAAGACAAAAGTAACTTCATAGCCCTCTTGATCTCCTACATGATAACATTCACCCAATAAGTAGATACATTGACATATTTTTATTGATCAAAGCTTAATCTTAGTATCGGCCTCTAGAATTATTCTACTTATCTGAAATGATAACATGCATCGCTTCTTATTTATACAACAAGACTCTCAATCTTTCGTGCATTGGGTTTCTTAAACTGATAGATTTGTATGTTTTCTACATCAAGTTTCTTAAAATTACTAACTTTTCGAGTGGCAAAGAATTTGCCCCAATTGTAAGCCTTGTATTTGGCAGGGTTTGATTCACTTGTCAGCTCTGCTAATGGCTCCACGACGGTATAATGTGCAGGGTTTACAAAAAACGGGATTGAAAACCTTTCCCGTGTGGAGTTCACCCTGACCCTGTGCTCTACACTCTCGTAGGTGTCATTGCTCCATACCTGAATAATGTCCCCGACATTGATGATGAAGGCATTAGGTGTAGGCTTGACAAAGATCCACTCTCCATCGGTTTTTCGCTTAACTTCCAAGCCTCCTACATCGTCTTGAGCCAAAATGGTCATGGCACCGGCATCCTTGTGTCGTCCAACACCAAGGGCTAGATCAGGAGCGAGGCAAGGTGGGTAGTGGTTGAGCCGAACGAAAGTGGTTTGGTCCTTGGAAAAGAAGGGCTCTAACCGGTTTGCAGGGAGGTTCAAACTTAGGGAGATCAGTTCCAACAATTTGAATGATAACTTCTGCACATGCTTAACATATTCTTCACATGCCTTCCTGTTTTTTGAAACACTCAAAAGTTACTTGTGTTGTTAGGGTGTGTTTGGTGTCAGGACAGGACAGTACTGGACAGGACTGGGCGGAATAGAACAACTGTTTAACGTGTGGTAAGATAAAACTAGATAGAACAGAACAAGTAAAATGACCAATTTACCCCTAATAAGTTGTTTATTTTAATTAATTTATGTAATTTATTAAAGGGAAAAGTACAATAAAAACCAATGGACTTTCTTGTTTGGAATGATTAAGTCCTTAGACTTTTTTT